CCATTAGCTGAATGTACTATCAATAAAATCCTGGGTCGCAAGTACTCACCTTAATATTTAAAAAAAAAAAAAAAATATTCTAATAGAATAATACTGTTTTGTTGTAAGAGTTAATGCTAAATATTTTATATTAAATATGACGCAAAAGGTATAGGTTGTTTATAAATTAGATATAAATAATACCATTAATGAATTAATAGATTACTGTTAATGGTAAATAAATTATATAAAGACATTTCCTTTACAGTAATATTTAAGGTATTTAAAATATCTATTTTTAAATTTATAATTAAGGACGAATCTATTTGTCACCGGCGGTGACAGTCACCGGGTTGCAATTGTCCAATCACATCACGGGATCAGGTGTAATGTTCGTGTAACCCGAAAACGAAGAAAATTTCAAAAATTTTCAAAAATTCGCGATAGCTCAAAATTTCGTCTATGGAAGCACCTTTTATGTTCTAATTAAAAAAATTCTTTACGAAATTTTATTGTAAGCTAAGCCCTAATATAACCCTAATTTAACTCCAACACTGACTCACTTTAGTGTGTGTTTTGATTCCATAGCTCAATTGCAATCCGGTGACTGTCGCGCCGGCGACAACTAGATTATTTCTATAATTAATTTCTTTTTTCGGGTTTTTAATATTTGCAATTTGATTGGTTGGTGAACATGTGATATTACATCAACATTCGTGTAACATTGCCGGTTCCTCATACACGTAGTGTACAAATAGAAATTGCCTTTTTATTTTGAAAGCCCGCACGAGTTTTATATTTAAATGTGTAGGTTTTTTTTTGGCGACATTCATATAGTGATCTTTTTTTTTTTTTTTTTTTTTGAATTCTTTACTTATTATGACGCGTTGGGTTAACTCGACCACTTTAGTGGCAACAAATTCAGGTGAAACCGATGACTTGACTGAATTATGCAATATACCGCAGTTTGGATTTCCTTGTACATCCCCAGAAGGCTCTCCTGAAGGATTTAGCGCGTCATTTCAAAAGGCAATCGATGATGAAATATTATTTTGGACAATGTCAACTGCAAAAGCTTCTGACTTTACTGATTATTCATATAAGTCGGATCCTACCACATTTTTAAGGACAAACTTTCCTGGCGACACGTCACATGACAATATTTATAACACACCAGTACGATCTGGATCAATCTATGCATCTTCACTTGGAAACACTCCTTTGAACACTTTTTCAACTGACAGGGCCAGTTTATATAGAGATCGGTCTAAATATTTGAGATCACCATCAATCAGAAAATTTAGTAGATTTAATTCAACTGACAGGGCCAGTCTTTATAGAGATCGGTCTAAATATTTGAGATCACCATCAATTAGAAAATTTAGTAGATTTAATATAACACCCAATGATCGTAAACGGCAAAAAAGCAATAAAGACATGAAACTTATGACAACTCCTGAAAGAAAAGTTCCTCAGATTAAAGATGATGTACTACAGTCTAATTTAGACTCATCACTTTACGATGAATTAAATGATGAAGGATATTCACCTTTATTGAGTTCACCCATAACAACTCCTGATAATGACGTGTCGTTTTGGACACCTACTGAGTCAATCAATGAAGAATCACATTCTAATACTGATATTGAGTCACCAATCTTGATACTAAAAAGACCAAATATCTCCACACCAGTTTTAATGAAACAAATGGATAAGGATTTAAAACCTTTACCGTCAATGATCAACGAGTTTGCAACTAAATATGCACATATGCTCGATAAAGCTTATTTCCAAAAGTACGGACATGAAAATAGAGGTATTTGTTAAAACAAATTATGAACTTTACAGTCAGGGACCTTGATATAATCACTAGATTGGAAAATAAAAATTTGATGATTAAAAATTGCAACTATGTGAAGATCAACATTTATGTTTTATAATAGTTAGGACTGAAAATATTGGAATTATAACAAGGTTGTGACTATGTCAAAGGTGATTGTAACGAGGCCTGACTGTATTTTCCTAAAAAAAAGTTCCTAACGCATGTTTTATTTATAGAGTTTAACCATCCAGAATCTTCAGAACTAAATGAAGTGGATTATTTTAGTTCAAATTTCTATACAATTGCTGTTATCGGATCTGGAGAATTCTCTGTTGCGTATAAGGTGGAAGATAGGAAATCTGGAGCTTATTATGCCATTAAAAAGACAAAGAATCCATTCGTTTCTCTAACCTCTAGATTTCGATCTTTGAATGAAGTTGGAATCATGTGGCGGCTTGGATCGCATCCAAACTGTGTCAAATTAGTTGCTGCCTGGGAACAACATGGTCACCTTTATCTCCAAACAGAATTATGTGATAACGGCACACTTTTGGACTTTATTAATAACAATACTCTCAGTGAATCTCAAGTTTGGAAGATATTTATGGATATTGCGCTTGGCCTTAAACACATTCATGGACATGACATTATGCATCTGGATTTAAAACCAGATAATATTTTTATGGCATCAAATGGAGCTTTCAAAATTGGAGACTTTGGCCTTGCATCAACCTGGCCAGCAAGTCCTAATTTGGAGAGTGAAGGAGATCGGAGATACCTTGCTGCTGAGGTTTTGAATGGGCATTATGATAAATCTGCAGACATTTTTAGTCTTGGAATGGTCCTTTTGGAAATGGTTAGTAAAATGCCACTTCCACATTTTGGTAGTGATTGGAGGAGATTGCGCAAAGGAGATTTGACTGGGATCGAGTTTGATAATATTTCAAATTCTATGATCTCTTTGATAAAGTCTATGCTCCAACGAGATCCAAACATGCGTCCCACAATTGAAGAAATTATTGTCTATAAGGTAACTACATAATAGTATTGTATATTATTAGTCAACGGAATAAAATTTATAAAATAGATTAATTGATATTTGAGCATTCTAAGTTCAAATGGTTTTAAAATGGCTTTTAAATGACTTAAAACATTATTTCAAAATGCAAATGACATGGTCATTTGAGAACACTGGGCACGGAGGAGTCCCAGGGGTATGCTCCAAATATTTGCTGTGCCCCAACCCTATTTCGGAGGCTACTGTACATGATGCTAATCAATCAGATTTTGTAATATTACAAAGAATTAACCAGTCACGCTATATATGAAAATTCTATTAGCTGTTACTAAGTATTAGTGTTTTGCAAAAAGAATTCGAATAGGTCTGGTATTTTTAATAGGTATGAATGTATAATTTTACCAGAACTGAAACTGTAAAATAATTAAGAGGAATTTACAAATAAGGCCCGTAAAAGTGAAATTATTCCAAATACGGACCAATTAAATATTAAATCTTTTGGTGGCTAAATAACGTGGTCACAAAATTACTGCGTCACAAAATACTATATACGTAGATAAAAGAATAAATCAAGCCTGGCTATACTAATAGCTTAAATATTGTATAAAAAAATAGCGTCAAACTAGCACAATTATTTATAAGATAAAGTTTCAACAGAGTAGCTCTCTAGAGCTGAACGAATTTCCCCATATTGGTAAATGTTATACTAATAGTACCTTACTTGACATAGTGGTTTATAATAAAAATTAAATTTAAAAAATTTCTTTTCTCGTTTATAATTACTAATTTACAATCGATCGTTGTGGTTAATACGTAACTACATTTATCGATGTTATGTCAATAACGATTAAGCAACAGGCTTGAATAACGGCGCAGTTATTTTGGGCCCTTATATATAATTATTTTTATTTGGGCCGTATTTGTAATTATTTTCACTTTCTGGGTAAATTCAACATAGAAAACATACAGACTTTGTTTGTCTTTCACGTGTGTCAATAGCCAGTAGTCCGGATGCAACGAGTTTGGAAGACTGCTACTTAGGGTTTTTATTATGCTGGTATAGTAGAAATGGTACTGTAATACGGTACGTATAATCAATATTTTGCTTCTATATGGTTCGAAATCTCGAAAATTCTAAAATTAAATCGGAAACAAATAAATCGATTTAATTGGCTAAATTGTTTCTAATTATGGCTTAGCTGGCTTAGTCAGCCGATTTTATGTAAAAAATTTTCCGAAAAGCAATTCAACGAACATATATCTATTATATCTATTATTTATATTAAAAAATACAAACATGTGAACACTTGCTTTTTTCCGGATCAGTCCGAATAGCGAAAATTTACAGGTAGGAACGTCCCAAATATGGAAATGATGATCTCGATCATGCATATTGATTTAGCCAATCAATATCGTAAA